CACACACACACGCTGCACCGTGCACACGCCAGCCCGAGCTGTGACACAACGTGCCTATGGCACGCCAGACCTGCTCCCTCCCCGCCGTGCCGGTACCTCACACCCCCGGCTCCCCCGAGTCGCAGGACACGATGGGGACCCCATCCCCGTTTGTGCCCTCAGGACATCCTGAATGTCCCTGTAGTGCCACGGGGTGACCAGCCCACCCCTCACCGCCACGGTGGCACCAGCTCCACCCTCCCGGGCCCCCCACGGCACCCCAAGGAGCAAGTCGGGCCCGGGCTGGTTTTCATTCACTTTTCCGCATACTTTATTTGTTACAAACATACAATTCTTTAAATATAGACTGTAAAACTCCATTTGCAAAAATCTGCTACGTCAGGAGTGCTCGGAGCAGGAGGAGTTCGTCGCGTCGGCCTCGTCTGCGCTAGTGGTAACACCCAGGACCTGCCTCCGGCCCCTGGAGCCGCCCCGCCGGCCGCAGGGAAGGGACACGGGGGCCCCGGCCCCCCCGGCCGCCTAAAGTGCAGGTTTGCTTTAGTTTTTGTTTTTCTTTCATTAAAAAAATAACAGGAATAAAACTTTCTTTTTTTTTTTTTTCTCTTTTCGGCAAAGGGACGTCATGGCGAGCGCTCGGGGAGGGAAGTGGCGCTCCCGGGATCCGCTGCTCCGAGGAGGATCCGGTGCTCGGAGGAGGACCCAACATTCATGGGATCCAGTTCTCAAAGGATCCAACTCTCCGAGGAGGACCTGCTGCTTGGAGAAGAGCCCAGCTCTAAGAGGGGGCTCTAGTGTTTGAAGGACCCAACTCTCAGAAGATCCAACTTGGAGGAGGATGTGGCTCCTGGAGGAGGATCCAGCACTCAGAGAAGGATCTGGTGCTCAGAGGATCCAGCTCTTGGAGGATCCAGTTCTTGAAGGATCCCGCTCTCGAAGGAGGATCGGGCGCTCAGAGGATCCAGCTTTTGGAAGATACAATTCTTGGAGGACCCAGCCGTCAGCGGATCCAACCCTGGGAGCGCCTGGCTCTTGAGAAGGACCCGGCGCTCTCCGCGCCGCTGCTGTCCCCGCGCCCGCGTGCCGGAGCCGCTCTCAGCCCGCGGGGACCCCAGGCCGTGCCGTGCCGTGCCGTGCCGTGCCGTGCCGTGCCGCGCTCCTCCGGCCCTCCCGCCCGGATCCGCCTTCTCCCGCCAACGCCCAGCCGCCCCGGCTCTACCGGCTCCGCGAGGATGAGGAGGGCGAGGAGGCGATGGCCTCGCCCTGCAGGAACATCTGGGAGCATCCACGGAGCCAGCTGGGACTTCCCACTGGGAAGACCTGCTGAGCTCCGTGGTGCACCACCCTGCGTACCCCCAGTGCTCCCTCAGCTGCTTCTTTTAAAAGCTCTTCCAGTTTTTTTGTGATTTTTTCCCACTTTTTGCTTTTTTTATGAGAGGCCAGTGAGGGGTTGGGTTGGTTTAGTCACCAACATGAGGAGCCACCCAAAGCATGGCCCCCCAAAGCATCCCCCACTGCCCCCAAATCACCTGGAAACGAGGCAGGGGAATCCGAATTTTCTTCCATATTTTTTAGGGCAAAAAGAGCTGAAGCTGTTTGAACTTGCCCTGGAAGCACCACCCGCTCCAGACCCAGCCATTTGGGGTATTTTCCAGTGGGTTTTGGGGCATTGTACAAGACTTCCAACATTCTGTCTGTACAGCCATCATCGCGTTCTCCGTCAGCCCCTCTGGGGCAGCAAAGCTGGAAGTACCAGGAATTTGGGATATTTTTCTCCCTATTTGTGGTTTAAAAAATAAAAACTAAAAAAAAACAAAACAAAACAAAACAAAACAAAAAAAAACAACCCAAAAAAAGCAATTTGCCCATTTTCTACAGAATTCAACCCAAAACCCAACCGAATCTGAGCTATGTACACACAGCCACGTCTATACACACAGAGATGGGAAGGGGGTTCAGGGGAGATGCCGGCGTTGTCCCGCTTTCCTGGGAAACACCCAATGCCTCCTGGGGGGCTCCAAGACAAAAACCCACCAAAACTGCCCCCCAACATCCCCTCTGCCATGGCAGCCCCCACAGCCACTCCCCTCGCTCCAGCTGGCACCTCAAATCCCCTTTTTTTCCCTATTTTATCTCATTTTGCCTGTTTTTTCCGCTGTATTCCCCGACGTGCTCTGCTCTTCCCACCCAAATGGAGCTGTGGGAGGTTGTGTCCATGGATCCGGCGCTTCTCTGGCCAGGAAAGGCTCCCTGAGCCAACGCCGGGAGCTGCTTTTTTGGGTTTATTACTGGATTTTGGTGGTTTTGCCTGTTTTTTTTTTCCTTTTCCGTGTATTTCTAGCCCGCTCCCCAGAGCAGGGCCGGGCCAGCAGCAATTCTGCCGCTCTCCCAGAGTAGAAATAAGGCTAAATCACCACAATTCAGCCAAAAGAAAGAAACCCAAAGGAATATATATATATTTATATATATATATATATATATATATATCTCTCATCCTCTTCAAAAATAAAAGGAGAGGTCCCGCGGCTGGACGCCGGTGAGTCCCGCGGAGCTGGGAGCGTTTTTCCCCCCAAATCCGTCGTCGCCGTCGTGGTTTATGGTTTTTCTCCGTGGCAAAGAACACAGGACCAGGAGGATGGGTGGATACAGCAGGAATTCACCGGAAAGAGCTGCCTGAGGGTACAAAATACAGTACGGACACATCGGCCATCGAGGAAGGACTATTGCTCCCGAGTGAGTGAGTGAGGGATCCGGGTCCTTTGCGACGGAGAAGGCTTAAAAACGGGATAAACGGAAGAAATTCTCTTTAAAAATCCCTTTAAAAAGAGCGGCGGCAGCGGGAGCAGCGGGGTGGGGCCGGCCGGTGGACGGATGGACAGCGGCGTGGGGGGTCCCCCAGGGCTCTGCGGCTGTTCCTCGCTTCCCAATAAATACGGAGAGAGGGAGATGCCGGATCCGTGGTAATAAATTAAGGAGGCAGCTGATTGGGCTCCCAAAAATGGATTAAAAGGAAAAAAAAAAAAAAAGAAAAGTC